TAGAGCGAGTTTTTTTAATGTATGAATGAACTGTAAATGTACATGTAGGTAGCGAGTGCATGTTCACATTAACTAGGCCCAAAGGTTTATTACATGTACATGCAAGTGTGTACAATGTGTGTGTCTACCTGAAAGATATACAGTCACATGGTGCTCAGGAGTCAAGCTCTGGACAGCCTCGAGAGAGGTACCTGTATATATGCTGTCTGTGCTACATGTACGTCTGATATGTGTAGTGCTTACTGGGGCTGAGTGTATGACCCATGGCTGTACTTAACTTGTGCTGTGCAATGCAGAAGTGCTGGCTGTAGAGAGTTGTATGATGCTGATACTAGGTTGCATGGTTGAAGTTTAATTGGGTAGTGTTGGTATGAATTGTGCAGTGCTTGTTGCAGTGAGCACTGCTGATGTGGGAGCACATGGTTCACATTGTGTTGCTGATTTGGTAGCGCATTGCTGACTTGGAAGACAAGCGCACTGCTTACATTGTTGTGTATCGCTGACTGTTGTGCAGTGCTTATACTGTGGTACATTATTTATGCTTTGCGTATTACTACTGATGTCAGCAGTAGGTTGTCTCCCTTTGTAACTGAAGAACCCTGTTACGAAAGTATACCAAACCAAATCCCAATCATCACTGTATATTTCTTGATTATTGTTAAATAAATTATCATCATATTAGTTGCACTGACAATCCTGAAGTCACAGTGTATTTCTTGCAAATTTAATTGTGTTGTTCACAGAGAGTAATCACGATCATCATAATCGGGCGATCATGTTGGTCTCTGTCTGATCCATAATCTTCATCTTCTTTAGCCTCTGAAATTGTGTTGCAATATGGAGAAAAAGCAACATATTTTAAAATGCTGAAGAAATGCAGAACTTGAAGTCAACAAAGAATTATGCTCACAGGGGAAGACCTGGAAAAGATCGTCAATGTGAACTGGAAATTTTGGCACTTCAGCTGTAGGCTGAAGTCAAGACCATAGAGTTGTAGACTCAAGTGACTTGACTTGGACTCGAGTCTGTCAGTTTAAAGCAGCACATTGTCTGGGCAACCTTACATTTTGAGCTGTACATTTGTGACTTAGTACCAGTAAAAAGCATAGGCAACGGGAGGACCGTGTAAGTAACATTTTATGATGTTCTTGAATCAAAATGAAAGAGACAGTCGGAAGCCAGAACCTTGTGCCCCTGTGAAATGGTTATTAGAGTACAGGCCCCAGTCCTTATAGGCTATAATAATCCTAGTGTACTGGTGTACACATTTTCAACTTCAAGTGGTTGATCACCAATTTGGCCAAAGGCTTTTGAAAAACTCTCAGCCGCGACTTTTCCAGTTCAAAGCCAACTAAATCAAAGAAAAATCCAGGAAACTGTCAAGTACGACATCTGAGAGCTAAGACCCAGCAAAGACAGAGGGGCCCAACACAAATTTAATGATACCTTGCAGAGTGCGAAATTAGCCCAAAATAGTGCTCGGACAAAATGTCATAACACAATCAATTTTGTTCCGCCGTTACCATATTTTGATCTACCATAACACATAAAGGGTAAGAGTTGTAACGTGCAGTGTCAGGGATCGAAATTCCTCCCCCACAAAAATGTGGGTGAGGTCGGCTATTGAATACCTACCCTAAACAGTCGCTAAATATGCAAAGTCCTTTGCGTCTGATTCAATTTGCTAAATCTTCTGATCAACCGTAGTGCACCCTCAAGTCCCATGATGCACAGCGGAATGGCCGCCATATTCGTCCTTTTCCGGTATTAAAACCGTCCGGGCCAAAAATGGGGAAGGATTGGAGGGAGCCGACTGTTTGGGGTAGGTATCCAATATCAGACCTCACCTACATTTCTGTGGGGGAGGAGTCTTCTGCTTTCAACCTACCCCAAACTGTCGCTAAATATGCAGAGTAGCACTGAGCCCTTGGAGGGGGGTGCGACCAGGACACACTACATAATGAGAATGTCAGAGCAAAAAGAAATTGTCCAAACTTATTGCGGACTCACCAAATAATGGAGTTGTTATGTCCTCCCGGGGGTGGGC